GTGATCCACCCACCTCGGCCTCCCAAAGTGCTGGGTTTACAGCTGTGAGTCACTATGCACGACCTGGAATCTGCATTTTTTCACAAACTTTCTCAGAGAATTACACCTGACTCCACTGAATTCTACAAGCCCAGATTTTCTATTTTTGCTTAGTAATTCTAGTGCCTGTTACATGCTAAGTGGTCAGGGCCAGATTAAAATGTTAACATCCAAAGGTATTAAAGAAATTATGCCCCACTCTTTCCCATATATAAATCAACATGAAATGATAATAGATAACAAAAATACATGAAGAGGGCTGGGCGTGGTGGCTCACGCCTGTAGTCCCAGCACTATGGGAGGCCAAGGCGAGCAGATCACCTGAGGTCGGGAGTTCGAGACCAGCCTGACCAACACAGAGAAACCCCATCTCTACTAAAAATACAAAATTAGCCGGATGTGGTGGCACATGCCTGTAATCTCAGCTACTCGGGAGGCTGAGGCAGGAGAATCTTTTGAACCCAGAAGGTGGAGGTTGCAGTGAGCCGAGATTGTGCCATTGCACTCCAGCCTGGGCAACAAGAGTGAAACTCTGTCTCAAAAACAAAAAACAAAAAACAAAAAACCTGAAGAGAAGTCCAACAGATCTTATTTTTCCTATGGTGTGGTGGGTAGGATAATGGCCCTCCAAAGATGGCCATGTGCTAATTGCTGGTCCCTGTGAATATGTTACAGGGCAAGGACGAATTAAGGTTGCAGATGGAATTAGGGTACTAATCAGCTGACTTTGAGATGGGGAGATTATTCTGATTATGTAGGTGGGTCCAATGTAGTCAGAAGGGTCCTAATAAGGGAAAGAGGGCCTGGGCGCAGTGACTCATGCCTGTCATCCAAGCACTTTGGGAGGCCAAGGCAGGTGGATCACCTGAGATGAGGAGTTCAAGACCAGCCTGGCCAACATGGTGAAACCCCATCTCTACTAAAACTACAAAAATTAGCTGCTGTGGTGGTGGGCGCCTGTAACCCCAGCTACTTGGGAGGCTGAGGCAGGAATCGCTTGAATCCCAGAGGCGGAGGTTGTAGTGAGCCAAGATCATGCCACTGCACTCCAGCCTGGGCGACAGAGCGAGACTCCGTCTCAAAAAAAAAAAAAGGCAGTGGGGTGGCGGGGAAGAGGAAGAGGAAGACGAGAGTCAGAATCAGAAGTAGAGCATGGGGTGATGCAGTCCTTGGCTTTAAAGATAGGGAGTGGGCTATGAGCCATGGGATGCAAGCAGCCTCTAGGAGCTAGAAAAGGCAAGAAAGTTTATTCTCCCCTAGGGCCTCCAGAATGAATGTGACCCTGCCAACACCTTGATTTTAGGCCAGTGAAAATCTTTATCTTCTAACTTACAGAACTATAAGCTAATACGTTTGTGTTGTCTTAAGCCAATTCTTTGCCATAAAGCTCTTAAAATATATCCCCTTTTGGTTCTGCTTCTCTGATTGAACCCTGACTGATATACCTGGTAACCAATTTGATACCCTGTTTAATAAAAGCATTAAGGATCAAATTATTGTCCAGGCGCAGTGGCTCATGCCTGTTATCCCAGCACTTTGGGAGGCTGAGGCAGGTGAATCACTTGAGGTCAGGAGTTTGAGACCAGCCTGGCCAATGTGACAAAACCCCGTCTCTATTAAAAATACAAAAATTAGCCGGGCATGGTGGCACACGCCTGTAATTCCAGCTACTTGGGAGGCTGAGGCAGGAATCGTTTGAACCCAGGAGGCAGAGGTTGCAGTGAGCCGAGATTGTGCCACTGCACTCCAGCCTTAGTGAAAGAGTGAGACTCCAGCTCAAAAAACAACAACAGACTGGGCCTGGTGGCTCATGCCTGTAATCCCAGCACTTTGGGAGGCTGAGGCAGGAGGATCACGAGGTCAAGAGATCAAGACCATCTTGGCCAACATGGTGAAACCCTGTCTCTACTAAAAATACAAAAATTAGCTGGGTGTGGTGGCACATGCCTGTAGTCTCAGCTACTTGGGAGGCTGAGGCAGGAGAATTGCTTGAACTGGGAGGTGGAGGTTGTAATGAGCTGAGATCGCGCCATTGCACTCCAGCCTGGGCGACAGAGACTCTGTCTCAAAAAAAAAAAAAAAAAAAATCCGAAGAAGAATGGTATTTCATGACATGTGAAAGTAATGCAAAATTCAAATTTCAGTATCCATAAAGTTTTGTTGGAACACAGCTACGCCTATTTATATTTGCATTATTTATGCTGCACGCAAACTAGAGTTGATTTGTTGCTACAGCGATCGTACGGCCCACAAAGACTTCAATATTTACTGTCCAACTCTTTACAGAAACTGGTCAGGGAGGGCTTCCCTGAGGAGGGGGACATTTAAGCTGAGACCTGAATGACGAGAAGACTGGAGGTAGCGGGCAGAGCTGTCTAGGCAGAGAGAAAAGACAGCAAAGGCAGTTTTCTCTCTAATCTTGTAACAGCCTTCTAAAGAAAAGTGTTATTAAGGAAAAAAAAAAGAGGGGACCCTGAGGCTCTGAGGGTGCTGTAGTCTCTCAGGGTCACGGAGACTGTACGTCCTGAGGAGGGGTTGGGAACTAGCTCTGTCTGGCACCAGAATTTGTGGTGCCATATGCTGGCCCCTTCTCGGCCTGACATAGCACAGGAGCCCAGAAACTGCATATTGAATGGCTTTATTTATCTTCCTCGGGGAAGGACCAGGGATTTTAGATTTATTCTCAGGAATAGGTGAGAAGAGCCAAGGACTCACCCATGGGCATGAAAGCATGTTCTCTGCAGCCTCATGGTTAGTGGTAGGCCCAGAAGAGGCCAAGGTCAGGAACTCCATGACCATCACAAAGCCCTCATCTGGCCTTGACAGCAGAATCTGTGACAAGGGCAGTAGGCGAGACATAGGCTAGAGAAGAGTAGTGAATTCCACCTATGTGGGGTTTCCAGCTTGGTGAATTCCAGTCATGTGGGGTTTATTGGTGCTGGTAGAAAACAGTAGCCTCAAGCCCTCAGTTGACAAGTGTGGCCAGAGAGAACCCCACTCTCAATCCTTTGTAGACCACGTCATTCCCGCCAGACTCTGTGCTAACAGAGGAGGGTAGGTTATTAGCCCCATTTAAGAGCCAGAGAAATTAAGGCAGTGGAGAGCAGCAGGGCTACTGGTTAAAAACACAGGCTCTGTGCCTGAATCCTAGCCTTGTCATTTGCTAGCTGTGGGAATGCAGGCAAGCGCCTTGATTTCTCTATGTCTGTGGATAATGATGGTATCTACCTCAAAGCTAGGTAAAGAATTAAGGAAACAATAGCCCAACACCACACCCGCAGGAAGGAAGCAAGTTTATTATTACTCAAACATTGGTGGATCCTGATGACATTCTCTCAGTTAGCTTTAGCAATCTCAAGAGACCTTAGAGGATGGAGAACTCAAGGTTAGAGCCAGATTTCTTCTCTACCCAGTTCCTCGGGGCCAAAACCCTCACACCATGCTTAAATCCTCTTTCAGACACCGTAGTCCATCAGCAAACTCTATCTTCAGTTATGCATCCAGGAGTCCAACCATTCCTGCCACCTCCTCGGTATTACTTTCATCCAAACTGCCATCAGCTGTCACCTAGATTATTGCAAAAGCCTCCTCACTGGCTTTGGGGCTTCCATCCTCTCTCTCTCGCCAACACCCAGTCAGCTCCCAGGCAGTAAAGCTCATATTACTTCTCCGTTCAAAACCCTTCTGTGACTTCCTAACACACCTAGAATTAACTGATTTATGTACTCAATGATTATTTATTATTGAGTGTCTATTATGTGCCAGATACTGTTGTAGGCATTAAAGATAAAATGGAGAACAAAATAGACAAAAATTTCTGCATTCATGAAGCTTCCGTTCTCATGGAGGGAGATGGTTAATAAACAAGTGTATAAGTAAAACATACGGTGGGTTAGGTGTCATGTGGAAAAACCGTTTAGGGAAGGCGGGGGGCCTTGGATTTTAAGTAGGGTGGTCAAGGAGGTCTAACACACAAGATAAGGGTTAAATAAAAGGCCAAACGTAGGAGAGGTGGGAGCCAAAGAGCCACCCAGAAGAAGAGCATTCTAGATAAAGGCTCAGCAAGTGCAAGGATGGAAGTATTCCTGGGGAGTCTGTGACAATAGTGGAAAGTGAAAGTGTGTGGGAGGGGAGATATAGAGCCCCATGTCCCCCTCCCACACACTTCAGAGGGGAAAAAGGGGGCAGGGTTGAGTCCTGTACATTCCCCAGGTTTTTTTTCTCTGATGGAGATTGGAAGCCATTGGAGGGTTTAAGCAGAGGAGTGATAAGTTAAGGGATCACTCCAGCTGCTGTGTGGAAATCCATAAGGAACAGGGGTGAGTCAGAGACCCTGAATGGAGCGTTGCAATTATCCAGATGAGATAGAGTGGCTTGGATCAGGAAGGGAGGTAGCAACAGAAGCGGTCAATAAAGTCCAAAGTCCTTACGATAGGGTCCCGGTCCTCCCGATGGGGGTCTCACCTACCCCTCCCACCTCACCTTGTTCCCTCCCCGCATCCCCACCCCACCGGCCACTGCTAGGCACATAGAAGGCATCTACTAAGCATGTGTTGAATCAATGAACTGCTTAATGAATGGTCCACCCCTAGATCATCAGCAGCCATTTTAACGCTAGGCATATAGTCTGAATTCAATCCATGTTTACAGATGGAATGCTGCACTGTCCTATCAAGTCCAGGCGGTTATTTCTTTCCACAGTCGAAGGAAACTGAGGCTCGGGTTGGGGAAGTGTCCCCCTGGGGTCTCTCAGCTTAGGCTACAGGCTGGGCATCCCTTTTCAAACTCTTTTAGCACAGCGAAGTCGAGAGCACTGGGCGGAGGGTGCTTGCTTGCCCTCAGGGTGAGTCACGGTGACCTCACAGGAGTTTCCTCAAAACGTCCCCGGCCTGTGATGGGGAAAAGCCGGAATCTCTCGGGCCCAGGTGGTCATGTTGCCCAGGCCGGACAAGCTTCCCGAAAGCCCGGGGAGGGACTAAGAAACAATCCTCCCACGCGCTTTCTCCCACCCTCGGGCCACTGAGACGGAGGCACAGAGGGCCGCCCCCACGCGGCCGAGGCCCCGCCTCCCGCTCGCCAGCCCGCGCCTCCAGCGGAAGCCGGAAGCAAAAGCGGGTCCTGCTAGCCCCGCAGCTCCGAACTCGGTGGTCCCGGAAGCTCCGCTGGATGGGGGAGAAGATGGCGGAAGAGGAGTGAGTGGGCTTTTTCCCGGGCGGCAGAGGCGGCGGGGCTGGGCCCCGGCGGGTGACAGCGAGCGCCTCAGTCCGCCCTCAGGCTCCGGAAGGCGGAGCTTCTTTTGCTGGTTGGCCAGGACTGACCAAGCTGGTGCCTACGAGGGGGGTGGGATGGGCGGGCCTGGGCCCAGGTGGGCCTTGCGTTCTCTTGGAGGTCGGTCCCTCGAGCTGGGAATCCGCCGCCCGGCGCCGGCCCTGAGGGCGGCCTTGCGGAAAATGCAAACCCATATTTACTTTCCCAGTTTTCGGTTATCTCATGGTTACTGAGCCCTCTTCCGCCTCCTCCAGGAAGTCGTCCGGGTTCTCCACACCCACGTCCTACGTAGCCAGTCGTCTCCTCCTCTGTAACGATCAGTTTTCATGTCTTTCTCCTTCACCAAGTTTCGTTCAGTCATTAACTGTTAGCCATCTACTCAATTCCAGGCCCTGGGCACATGGTAGGAAAGGAGGCCGACCAGGAGCCGCTCTCTGGGAGCTTCCATTCTAGTGGGAAAAGGAGACCATAATTAGTCAAGATGGTTTCAGATCGTGATTAATTAACCCTATTTATGCCTAGTGTTCTGTTATTGGAACGCTAAGCATGTGGGAGTTATTTATATCCTACTGCTCAAGGTCATTGCCAAGGTCTGATTTTTCTCACATGTCTGCAATTCTAAAAATTGCAATCTCTGCCATGAATGGGTTAAGTGTTCCTAAGGAAGCAGAATAGAGTTAGGGTTGGGGAGTCCACTCAGGAAAAAGTGACATTCAGCAGAAACTTGAATGACCAGAAGGAGGGGTAGGAGAAGTAACATTAGGTTCAAAAGGCCTGGTTGAAGAAAGGGTTTAGTGCTTTTGAGTGACAGGCAGCATAGCTGGTGTGTAGAGAGGAGGGGGGGTTAGCTGAACAAGGGGAGATAGGGAAGGACGATCTGTGTCCTCCAGGTACTTTTGGGCAAGTCCAAAAGTCGTCTCCATACCTACAGGGCAGAGTCTGTTGCAGATTGTAGATGCCCTATCACTGTGGAATGAGTACGTGAAGATGAATAAGGAACCCCTTCATTGATACTGGACTCCTTCACCTGATAACTTTTCAAATATATTTCTTGGCCATATGGGGGTCATTTAATGTAATCAGATACTTACTGAGCAACTGCTCCGTCCCAGACACTAAACAGGGCCTCAGCAGCACAAAATGAAAGAGGCAATATAGCCCAGCGATTTCAAGTTTGGGTTTTCAGTTTGATTCTGCCACTAACTGAGATGCTGGTGAAGCTTTGCAACCTCCCTGAGCCTTAGTTATGCATGGGTAAAAAAGGGAAAGTAATCATACCCCATCAGACATGTTATACCTATTAAATGAGAGGTAGTGTGTTACCCAGTTCCTGAAATGAAGCAGTGCTCAGAAAATATTAACTTTTATAGTCACAATTACAGTTATTATAACAGTATTGCACTAGTTCACAATCCCAGCACGGTGTGAAAGAGCTGTGGGAACATAAGCAGTGGAGTGGGTAAATTTGGGTGAGGTAAGATGGGGTAATAGGAGGTGACATTTGAGCCTTTTGAAATCTGAGAAAGATTTTGTAAAGTAGTGTAGGGCACGCCCAGATCAACCACTGGGCAAATTCAGGTGGCTTCTTCAACTTGCAGAAATAATGCAAGGAAAAGAATGTAAATTGGAGAAGCAAAGGTGCTAAGTAAACAATGTTGGACCTTGGAAAGTGATGAGACTCCAGTTCACCTCCCTTTTAATCCCCCAGTATTTGCCAAAGAGCAGGCAGCATTTCATGTCTCTACTAGCTCTAATTCCCTACCATTCCTGTCCTCTGTGGCTGCATTCAAAAGCACCAGAGGCCACTAGTAGTGCTGTGCAGCCAGGGATTTTCTTAGTAAGTTTCTCTCCAAGACCTGCCTGTTAGTTACAAGACTTGTGAATCCCATAAAATTCTTGGACAGCTGCTCTTTCTGGTGTGAGGTGTGTGAATTGATGTTCTGGGACCCTTTTCCATTATGTAATTATGCTTTTTATGTCCTCCAGGAGGTTCACCAATACAACTCATGAGGGTTTCAATGTCACCCTCCACACTACCCTGGTTGTCACGACGAAGCTGGTGCTCCCGACCCCTGGCAAGCCCATCCTCCCCGTGCAGACAGGGGAGCAGGCCCAGCAAGAGGAACAGTCCAGCGGCATGACCATTTTCTTCAGTCTCCTTGTCCTAGGTGAATATGGACACTGTCATCCCCATCATCTGCCATCCCCAGTGTCTGTGTACTTGGTCTGTGTGTTTAACCCTGTCACTCCTCTTGACTGTGTCAAGTCTTCCTCCCATTTGGTTTTCATATCAAACACTGAGGGAACATGTTCAGTTTATAAGATCGTAACAGGGAACTCTCTTCTTTATAAAATCATGGCGCTTAGCAAGTTCCGAAGAGCTCTTTTTTTTTTTTTTTTTTTTGAGGTGGAGTCTTGCTCTATCGCCCAGGCTGGAGTGCAGTGGCTGGATCTCAGCTCACTACAAGCTCTGCCTCCCAGGTTTACGCCATTCTCCTGCCTCAGCCTCCCGAGTAGCTGGGACTACAGGCGCCTGCCACCTCGCCCGGCTAGTTTTTTGTATTTTTTTTTGAGACGGGGTTTCACCGTGTTTGCCAGGATGGTCTCGATCTCCTGACCTTGTGATCCGCCCGTCTCGACCTCCCAAAGTGCTGGGATTACAGGCTTGAGCCACCGCGCCCGGCCTCCCGAAGAGCTCTTAATGTAGTATCTTAGCCTTTGAAAGAAGGATTTAAAAAATTTTGGCCTAGAAAGAATCTTGAGGCCCGGCGCGGTGGCTCACACCTGACATCTCAGCACTTTGGGATACTCAGGTGGATCACTTGAGGTTAGGAAATCAAGACCAGCCTGGCCAATGTGGTGAAACCCTGTATCTACTAAAAATACAAAATTAGTTGGGCGTAGTGGCACATGCATGTAATCGCAGTTACTCAGGGGGCTGAGGCACAAGAATCACTTGAACCTGGGAGGCAGAGGTTGCAGTTAGCCGAGATCACGCCACTGCACTCCAGCCTGAATGACAGAGCGAGACTCTGTCTCAAAAAAAAAAAAAAGAATCTTGAACATCTAGTTTAGTGAATTTCAGGTTCTGCTCAAAGGAGTATGCGCGTGTGCAGGGGAGGAAGGAGCAGGGGGTAGGGTGGCAGAAAGTGGGAGGAGTCAGATGGGAGAATATCTGACCCTCTGCTCCTAGCTTCAATCAGAGCAGCATTTTGTGTTCATATTTGTTAGACTTCCATGTGAATTTTATTTAACGGTTTTGCTGCTGATTGAAAGAGCAGAAATCCTTGCCCTAGCACCCTGTTTTCTTTAACCTCTGTCATTCTCATTAACCATGGTCATGACTTTTGCCGTATCTGTGTACCACCTGTATTGTTAATTTAGTTATGTGCTATTTTTGTTTAAATGCATTCACTCTCTGAAAACCTCATTTTGGGCCAGGTGCGGTGTATCATGCTGGTAATACCAACACTTTGGGAGGCCGAGGCGGATGGATCACTTGAGGTCAGGAGTTCGAGACCAGCCTGGCCAACATGGTGAAACTCTGTCTCTACTGAAATTACAAAAATTAGCCGGGCATGGTGGTATGTGCCTGTAATCCCAGCTACTCAGGAGGCTGAGGCAGGAGAATTGCTTGAACCTGGGAGGTGGAGGCTGCAGTGAGCCAAGATCGTGCCACTATACTCCAGCCTGGGAGACAGAGTAAGGCACTGTCTTAAAACAGAAAAAAAAAAAAAAACAAAAAACTAATTTTGTTCAACCTTCTCTTTTAGTGTGTGAGGAAATTTCAGCATAGAGAAGTCAAGTGATTGTCATACTGGGCTAGTATAAGACTAGAGACTGATAACCAGGTTACCAGATAGCTGTCGAGAGGTTTCGATAAAAGACAAAAACTTAAATGCCTCCCAGAGTGCCTATAACTCCATCTCAAAAAACAAGCAAAAAAGAAATTCAGTTGAAACTACACAACCACTTTTGATTAGCTAAGGAATAAATAGCTTTGAATTTGACCCAAGGTCAAATTTTTTTTTGTTTTTTTTTTTGAGATGGAGTCTTGCTGTTGCCCAGGCTGGAGTGCCATGGCGAGATCTCGGCTCACTGCAAGCTCCGTCTCCCAGATTCACGCCATTCTCCTGCCTCAGCCTCCCAAGTAGCTGGGACTACAGGTGCCCACCACCACGCCCAGCTAATTTTTTGTATTTTTAGTAGAGATGGGGTTTCACAGTGTTGTCCAGGATGGTCTTGATCTGCTAACCTCATGATCTGCCTGCCTCAGCCTCCCAAAGTGCTGGGATTACAGGCGTGAGCCCCGCACCTGGCCTGTAATCCCAGCACTTTGGGAGGCTGAGGCGCGTGGATCATCTAAGGTCAGGAGTTCGAGACCAGCCTGGCCAACATGGTGAAACCCCATCTCTACTAAAAATACAAAAAATTTTAGCAGGACATAGTGGTGTGCCCCTGTAATCTCACCTTCTTGGGAGGCTGAGGCAGGAGAATCACTTGAACCCTGGGAGGCGGAGGTTGCGGTGAGCCAAGATTGCACCACTGCACTCCAGCCTGAGTGACAAGAGGGAAACCATCCCCCACCCCCCCAAAAAACAAAAACAAATTCTTGTTTGAAAGTGAAACAAACATTTCATTTGCTGCTTTTCTTTAGTGATACCAAAGTCATATTCCTAATGAGATTAGATCTTTTCAGAAAGTTGAAAGGTGGAACTGTTTTTTTTTTTTTATTTCTCTGATGTGTATTAGGACTGTTTTTGAAGGAAAAGTATAACTTCTCTTACATTTATCTCTGGTAAGTGGTCAAAAATTTTAATAATACACTTGAGGCCAGCAGTTTGAGACCAGCCTGGGCAACGTAGTGAGACTCTGTCTCTATAAAAAATAAAAGATTTTAATAATATAGTCTTTTTATTTGAAATCCTAGGACTCATCCTTGTCTGTCATAGTTTCAGAAACTTTTAAACCCATACTGAAAAAGTACACAGACCAGAAGTATACAGTGTCTCATATAGATTTAATACACCCTGGTAATTTTTTGCCCTGTAAATGTAGTTGAATTCTATTTCTAGGGGATTACTTCAACAATGAAGGACTCTTTTTTGTTTTCTTTTTTCTTTTGCGATAGTAGTCGAAGACAAAGAAAAGCATTTCTTTTCTTGATTAAGAAATCTTCAGTAGCTGAAGTCTTCCTTCAGGATTGAGGAGTATTACTAGTCTATTTACAGTGCTGTAAATTTGATATGTTAGACAATATAAAAGGCGGACCTGGAAAAAAAAAAAACAACTTTTGCAGTCACTTTTTTTTTAAGGGAAATTGAAAAGTATAATAGGACTTTTTTTTTTTTTTTTTTTTTTTGAGACGGAGTCTCGCTCTGTCACCCAGGCTGGAGTGCAGTGGCCGGATCTCAGCTCACTGCAAGCTCCGCCTCCCGGGTTCACGCCATTCTCCTGCCTCAGCCTCCCGAGTAGCTGGGACTACAGGCGCCTGCCACCACGCCCGGCTAAGTTTTTGTATTTTTAGTAGAGACGGGGTTTCACTGTGTTAGCCAGGATGGTCTCGATCTCCTGACCTCGTGTTCCGCCCGTCTCGGCCTCCCAAAGTGCTGGGATTACAGGCTTGAGCCACCGCGCCCGGCCAGTATAATAGGACTTTTAAGTAACTTCCAGGGTGTGGAGCATTTAAGATTAGCTGTACAAAAGACCGCAAAACAGGTTTCTATAATGTACCTTTTATACCAGGCAAAATCCTGCCCAGTGTTAATAGTATTATCTTTGGGGCCAGAAAGGCTGAACTGTATTTAATAGTCCTGTATATTTCTCTTGGATTGTCCTCTCCAAACGGATTATAAACCTAGACTCTAGAGTCACACCAATGTTAGGTGGGTTTCGTTTTCACCTAATCAGATTCTTGATAGTTTATGAGTTACTGTCTCTGCTTATGTGGAGGTCAGCATGTATTAGCAGAATAGAATGATGCTTTCTTTTTAAGTAAATTTGAAGGCATTGTTTCCCTGTTGCATATTATTATTTATTTCTGGTTAGATATCCAAACACTGAAAATCTTTTTTTTTTTTTTTTCCGAGATGGAATCTCGTTCTATTGCCCAGGCTGGAGTACAGTGGTGAGATCTCACCTCACTGCAACTTCCACCTCCTGAGTTCAAGTGATTTTCCTTCCTCAGGCTCCCAAGTAGCTGTGGTTACAAGTGCCCACAACCACACCCAGCTGATTTTTGTATTTTTAGTAGAGATGGTGTTTCGCCGTGTTGGCCAGGCTGGTCTTGAACTCCTGACCTCAGATGGTCCACCTGCCTCAGCCTCCCAAAGTGCTAGGATTATAGGTGTGAGCCACCACACCCAGTTCAAACAATGTAAATCTGATAATGTTTTTAAAAATTACTGTTATTCGGTAACTTACTAATTCATGAATAAATGAACTCAAATGAATTAAGGTAAATTAGCCTATAGTTTATTCTAGACCTCAGAACTCCTGACCTGGAATTTATTTGCCACATTTGGTTACTCTTTTAGTTAATTCAAATGAAATGGTAACTTTTGTGTCCTCTAAGCACATCACAGGATTACAGTGTGTTCCTCTTTGTTGAGAAGGGATGACAAAACTCTGTAGTTACTTTTGACTTTTAGAAACTTGAAATCAATCGACTTGCATTTAACTCTTGTTGATCTTTGACTCCACAAGAAAAAATGGGGAATCATTGTTATTTACTTACACTAGATTAATAATTAACATTATTTGACACATACATTTTATGGGCCTCGAAACTTAATGGAGTTATTACAATTGATATGTGTTTTATATATTTTCCATAGTCATTACTCTAGGCATGAAAAATTGGAAGCACACCCTCCATACCACACAGTTTTTGCCCTTTCTTGCTCGGTTTTTTTCCAAGTGTACTTGAAAACATGTGCTTGTTTTTGTGTATACAGATGTATGTTCATAAGCACATACACAAACACAAATAATACATGTTTGGAGTTGCGAATTTGTTTCGACATAAATGGGGTCCTATAACTTGCCTTTTCATCTCACAGAATGTCTTGGAGATCATTGTGTTGGTGTTTTTTCTGTCTACCTCATTCTTTTTTTTTTTTGTAGTAAAATGCACATAACATACATTTACAATTTTGAACACTTTAAAATGTACAGTTCAGCAGCATCTAGTACATTCACAATGTTGTGCAGCTATCACTACTATCTACTTTCAGAACATTTTCTTCACCCCAAAAGAAAACCATTAAAAGCAGTTGTTTCCCATCCCTCCCTCTTCTAGTCCTTGGCAACCACTATTCTGCTTTCTGTCTCTAGGAATTTGCCTATTTAGAATACTTCGTATAAATGAAACCATTTATATGTGGTCTTTTGTGTCTAGTTTCTATTACTTAGCGTAATGTTCTCAAGATTCATGTTATAGCGTATATTAGAATTGCATTCTTTTTTATGGCTGAGTAATATTCCACTGTATGGATATACCACATGATGTTTATTCATTCATCAGTGAACATTTGGATTGTTTCTACCTTTGGGCTATTGTGAATACTTCTGCAGTGAACATTTCTGTACAGGCTTTTGTGTGGATAAATGTTTTTATTTCTTTTGGATATATACCTACAAGTGGAATTGCAGAGTCAAATGGTTACTCTGTGTTTAACTTTCTCAGAAACTAGCAAATGTTTTCCACAGGGGCTGCACCATTTTACAAGGGTTCCAATTTCTCCATGTTCTTGCCAACACTTATTTTCTGGTTTAAAAAAAAATGATAGACTGGATGTGGTGGCTCATACCTGCAATCTCAGCACTTTGGGAGGCTGAGGTGGGCAGATCACTTGAGGCCAGGAGTTCAAGACCAGCCTGGCAATATGGCGAAACCCTGTCTCTACTAAAAATACAAAAAAATTAGGTGGGCGTGGACGTGGTGGCATACACCTGTAATCCTAGCTATTTGGGAGGCTGAGGCACTAGAATCATTTGAATCTGGGAGGTGGAGGTTGCAGTGAGCTGAGATCGCACCACTGCACTCCAGCCTGGGTGACAGAGCGAGACTCTGTCTCAGGGGAAGAAAAAACGTATAGCTATCCTAGTGGATATGAAATTGTTTTTTTTTTGTTTTTGTTTTTGTTTTTTTTTGAGATAGAGTCTTGCTCTGTCTCCCAGGCTAGAGTGCAGTGGCATGATCTTGGCTCACTGCAGCCTCTGCCTCCTGGGTTCAAGTGATTCTCCTATCTCAGCCTCCCATGTAACTGGGATTATAGGTGTGCACTACTACACCCTGCTAATTTTTGTGTTTTTAGTAGAGATGGCATTTCACCATGTTGGCCAGGCTGGTCTTGAACTCCTGACCTCAGGTGATCTGCTTGCCTCGGCCTCCCAAAGTGCTGGGATTACAGGTGTGAGCCACTGCACTCACTGTATTTTTTTAAAAAATCTTACATGTCCTTCCAGTGAATCATTGTATTTTGATTTTAGTTTCCCTAGTGACTATTGATGTTGAGCATCTTTTGTCTATTCATGTCCTATGCCCATTTAAAAGCTGTGGTGTTTGGCTGGGCGTGGTGGCTCACACCTGCAATCCCAGCACTTTGGGAGGCCGAGGCGGGCGGATCACGAGGTCAGAAGATCGAGACCATCCTGGCTAATACGGTGAAACCCCGTCTCTACTAAAAAATACAAAAAATTAACCAGGCATGGTGGCAGGTGCCTGTAGTCTCAGCTACTCTGGAGGCTGAGGTGGGTGAATGGCGTGTACCCGGGAGGCAGAACTCGCAGTGAGCCGAGATCGTGCCACTGCACTCAAGCCTGGGCGACAGAGCAAGACTCTGTCTCAAAAAAAAAAAAAAAAAGCTGTGGTGTTTGTCTCTTGACTGTTGAGTTTAAGAGTTCTTTATATATTGTGGATACTACACCCTTATCAGATACATGATTTGCAAATATTTTCTCCCCTTCTATGGATTGTCTTTTCTGACTTTATTCTTTTTAATGGCTGAAAGCTATTACTTGGCATTGATGAACCTTATATTTACCTCTTTCTGTAGTAGACAGTTCCCCCCTTTGCTCTTAAAGCTGCAAAGAGTTGTTTGATCTGTGTATGAGAATAACTTAAATTTTTAAAAATCTAGCTTGGTACAAAGGAAGAGCAGAAACTGGTTCAACTCTCTTGGTCTATTTTCTGTCCACTTATGTGCTTATTTGCCTTTTTTTGTTTTGTCTAGACATTGAGCATGTTCATTAGTCACATGTTATGTTTATGCACTGGAACTTTTTTCTTGCCCTTAGTATTTAATGTAGGATTTCTAACTAGGTTAAATATTTATATAAAAATAACACCACAGATTGATAGTTTAAAGCACAAAATGAAAAGAGGACAAAATGTCTACATTTACAACACTCTGGCCACCTGGTGCTTTTTGGTGGGATTAAAGAAACCTCATTTGTCAGTGCAGCCTCTGAGTGTGACCAGTTAACAGCCATGTGGATTGTTTAAACAGTTCCTTGAAAAAAATAACAAAATTAATTTTAGTCCTGTTAATAAATACTGGGGTTGATGAGCTGGTATACTATCTAGGTGCCCAATAAACGAAAGAGACATGCATACTAACATTTGGATTAGGAAATTACATTCAGGAATAATTTTTGTGAAATACCTTATTTTTTTGGGTGGGGGGCAGAAATATCCCTTTCAAATCATTTTATTTTACATCTTCTTATTTTCTTTCATGACAACACCTCTGTGAAGAAAGTTAGACATTATTGTATTTTGGAGGTTGAGGAGTGAAGGCATCCAGCCAGGAGGGAGGTGGTGGGGTACACTGTGGTTAAGAGCACAGATTTGGAATCTGACTCAATACTGCAGCACCTACCAGTGGTGTGACAGGTGCTGTGATGTCTTGAAGCCTCAGTTTTCTGATCTGTAATCAGAGAAGATAGTGGTAATGACAGCTAGTTCAGAGGGGAGCTGGAGGATTAAATGAGAGAGTAGTTGGGGTGTTCAGCCTAGTTCATGGCTCATGGGAAGCCCTCAGCCAATGAGAATGGCAGGACACAGCTGCACCCAGCTGCGGAGCAGGAGTGTTCCATATTCAGATCTCTGATGTTCTTGTCACCAAACCAAAGTGTTTACTTTTTCCTGTTTGTAGAACCCTCACTTCCCTCCATGTTAAGAGCCAGTCACATGGTGGCAAAATAATTTGTGTCAATGCAATCTGTTGTAGTTACATTTATGTAAAAGTGATTGATTTCATTGACTTCCTCTTCACCACATAGAGTGTTCTAGTTGATAATCACTTCCAAAAAGTTGAAGACCATTTCTCAGAATCAGAAAAATTTGAATAATTTTAAATGATTATATAAGGTTTAATTAATAGCTTATGTAAAAAAATAGATTTCTGGCTGGGCACTGTGGCTCACACCTGTAATCCCAGCACTTTGGGAGGCCAAGGTGGATAGATTGCTTGAGCGCAAGAGTTGGAGACCAGCCTGTGCAACGTGGCGAAACCCCGTCTCTACTAAAAATACAAAAAAAATTAGCTGGGTGTGGTGGCATGTGCCTGTGGTCCCAGCTACTTGGAAGGCTGAGATGGGAGAATCACCTGGGCCCGGGAAGTTGAGACTGCAGTGAGCCTAGATCATACCGCTACACTCCAGCTTGGGTGACACAGTGAGACTCTGTCTCAAAAAAAGTAGATTTCTGTTCCTTTTCCAATAACTACTGGAAAACAAACTAGTTCAGGCAGACAAAGAAGTATGGAGAAAATATAATAAACATTGTAAATGTACCTCCAGTTTAAGAAATGAGACATGAAAAGCACAGCTGAAGTTCACTGTGTTATTCCACTTGTCCATTTCTGTGAGGACCCCCCAGAGATACCACTGACTGGAACTTGGTGTTTATCATTCAAAATTGGGTGTTTTTTTAAAACAATATCTTATTTTTTTTGTCTACAGCTATCTGCATCATATTGGTGCATTTACTGATCCGATACAGATTACATTTCTTGCCAGAGAGTGTTGCTGTTGTTTCTTTAGGTAAGTATGTATTGGTGATTCCATAATGAAAGCAGTAACAGTAACTACCATTTTTTGAGTGCCTCTTTAGTGCCAGGAACCACAAGAGATGCATCACATCTCTGATCTCATTTAATCCTCGCTGCAACCTGCCCTAAGGGTGTTATGATCCCATTTCACAGATGAGGACACTGGGGTTCAAGAAGGGTAGTGACCTCCTAAAGGTCATGTAGAAGCCTAAAGGCCATACAGCTCTGTACAGCTCAAAGGCCCTTTCTTAGCCTTTTACTTCTGGTAGAACTACCCTTGGGGAACATTGACCTCTACTGCTAGGCTGGGCTGACATCCAACTCAGTAATGACACTTCATAGAATCACTCAATTTTATAGACAGAAGGGACTCTGACTTTACGGTTTAGGAGGAACCTTCAATGGCTCACTTAATGCCAGAGTCAGATCTAAAGTCTTCAGAGAGCATTCCACTCTATCCCACTTACATTTCTGTTTTGTTTCCTGTGCCAATTAACTGTTGAGATCTAGTTGCAGTGAATGAACCCGTGTAATAACAGGTGTGAATGCACACACAAGTTCATTGAAGTGGTTAGTGAAGGAAGAAGGCAGGGAATTTCAGTAAGTGTAAGATCAAGGCTGAAATGGGGTGGAGACATGTAAGGCACAGTAAATAAAGTCTTAGGTCAGCCTAAGCTTTTTATCAGTTTATTATATTATAGTCACTTTTACTAGTTTCCACTTGCCTACTGATGGTATTTAATTTTTCCTGATCACCGCTGATATTTAGAAGTTAACTTTGATTGCCTGGTAGATCTTTAGCGGAGTAGTAATTCTTTCACAGGATAGTTATTGTTAAGATTAGCTTTGGAAATGATTGTTCAGTTTCTGTTCGCTAGCCTCCCCATCCTCCCATCACCCCAGCAGTCCTACTACCCTGGTTCAGAGTCTCCTGTATTTTCGCTGGACTTCAGTACGAAGTGCCAGATCCTGGCTTGTGAGGCTTCACATTGTCATCTCATTTATGCCTTATGAGCTCCAGGTGATACCATATTTTAAGGAATGAGCACCACTGGATAGTGTTGACCTTCAGTACAGGTTTGGAAACCAGTTTTACTCAAAAAGTTCGTGTTCTCTTTTTAGCATGCTTTTTAGCAATATATCTTGGCAGATTCTAACAGCCTTAGCTAATAAGATAGTCCTAGAGCTCCAAGAATAGGAGGCTTGCTCGTTAACATTCCTTTCTGGCCAGGTGCGGTGGCTCACGCCTGTAATCCCAGCCCTTTGGGAGGCTGAGGCGGGCGGATCACGAGGTCAGGAGATCGAGACCACCCTGGGTAACACAGTGAAACCCCGTCTCTACTAAAAATAAAAAAATTAGCTGGGCGTAGTGGCAGGCACCTGTAATCCCAGCTACTCGGGAGGCTGAGGCAGGAGAATGGCGGGAACCCGGGAGGCGGAGCTTGCAGTGAGCTGAGATCGCGCCACTGCACTCCAGCCCGGGCGGCACAGCAAGACTCTGTCTCAAAAAAAAAAAAAAAAGAACATTCATTTCTGCTATTAGGCATATTGAAAAGAACCTCTGTGACTAATACCCATCGTTCTGGGGCATTCGGTAAAGGCTTTAAGAACTACTCCAAGGAATTTACAGTTGTGTGGTCAGTTTTACAGCTTCTTAAGGAAATTTGCTTTGAAAATTATAGTTGGTGTGTATTTAGATATTATACACATGAAAATTAAAATGATAATTCTTATAATTTGGTTTAGAATTTCAAGCTCCTCATGTTTCTTGAATGTTTGGGTAACTGCAGCTTGCTGAACACCAGTGCTTCTATTAGGACTTAGAGCAGACATTGTTGGTTGCTTACCAAAGAGTCATTTCCCCCTTCTTCCTTGAAAATAGAACCCCAATTTTGATCAGGTATCTTGCCACAGTGTGCTTGAGGAAGATGGGCCTCTCCAAGTCAGGATTGGTCTTTGCCATCATGTTAATTTCACTCTTCTTTGCCAATGATTGGTTGAGAGGGGTGGAGGTGGCAAGGCAGTGTAAAACCCGTTTCTGGCAAGTGACACCAAGGTGACGTGTGATGAGGTAGTGGGTACTGGATGGAAAATGTTTTCCTCTCCGATAGTAATGAGAAATTTCCCCTTCATTTCTTTGATGCTGCTGAATGAGGGTGTGATGCCTAGTGGACTGGTAGCCATCTTGCAACTACTGTGGCTCAAACACAAAAGCCAGAGTGCTAAGGATTGCCAGGGGGACAGATGGGAATCCCAGATTATTGATAGCATTGTTGCTTTGTTGAATTGATAGCCCTGAAACTTCCTATCTTAGTGCTACCTTTTATATGAGATAATAAACATCTATTAGCTGTTGTTGACTTAGAATAAAGAGAAAAATCAAAACAAACATATTGTTTAAGCCATATTTAGTCTAAATTATTTTACTTGCAACTAAAAGCATCTTAACTAACATAGAACTCTTTGCATTCAAGGGACAAAACCCAATTCAGAAGAAATTGGCCAGGCACGGTGGCTCACACCTATAATCCCAGCATTTTGGGAGGCCGAGGTGGACGGATCGCCTGAGGCCAGGAGTTTGAGACCAGCCTGGCCAACATGGTGAACCCCCCATCTCCACTAAAAATAGAAAAATTAGCTGGGCATGGTGGCAGGTGCTTGTAATCCCAGCTATCCTGGAGGCTGAAGCAGTAGAACCACTTGAGTCCGGGAGGTGGAAGTTGCACTGAGCCCCGGTCACGCCAGGACACTCCAGCCTGGGTGACAGAGCAAGACTCCGTCTCAAAACAAACAAACAAACAAAAAAATTGGTAAGGGTAGGGGCGCACACCTCTTGACTCAGATAACTGGCAAAACTACGGGTAGTATTAGCTTGAGACAGCTGAATCAGGTCTCCTGGACTCAGTTCTTCTCCATGCCTTAGCAGTGAATCCCTTTTCCCCGGCTTCACTGTCAGGCAGGCTCTCTCGCTGTGGTACTCTGATCCGCTCTCAGACAGGCTCTTGGTGTGGTAAGCCCTTAAAGCAGTAACTGCAGTGAAAATGAACCCAGCCTCATTTTCATTCCTTACAAATTTTAGCCTAAAATATATACATGAATCAGCATTATACAGCCAGTAAAAAAATAAATATGGGCCGGGCACAGTGGCTCATGCCTGTAATCCCAGCACTTTGGGAAGCCGAGGCAGGCAGATCACTTGAGGTTAGGAGTTCGAGACTAGCCTGGCCAACATAGTGAAACCCTGTCTCCACTAAAAATACAAAAATTAGCCACGCATGGTGGCATGTGCCTGTAATCCCAGATACTTGGGAGGCTGAGGCAGGAGAATCGCTTGAATCTGGGGGCGGAGATTGCAGTGTGCCGAGATCACGCCATTGCACTCCAGCTTGGGTGACAGAACAAGACTCTGTCTGAAAAAAAAGATAAATAAATAAATGGGTGAACTCAACTAATACATGGAAAGAACACAAAAAAATGATATAAACTCAAATTAAACTATATAAAGTCATCTAATACATATGGACATGTCTACTCATGGACTGGAAGAGAATGAAACAAGATAAAAACAATTGTCAATAAACAGGATTTTTCTTTTTTCTATGTATAGTCGTTGTTTAACTGTGCAAAAGAAATTAGTTTTTAAAAGGCCCAAACTACAGAATTCCATAAAGTATAGAAAGTATCCTGAAAGCTTTGAACAAGGGCCAAGGAACTCTTTAGAACTTCAGGTTGATACTATATTTTTATAGTGAATGAAAAGTGGCCAGACAGACGCTCCTTTAAAAATACAGTAAAGTAGAAGTGGGGGACATGTGCTTTTGGAGTGCAGATGGTCCTTTTGTATCCTGACAATTTCTTAGGAACGCTGAACACCTAACTATAAAGCAAAAGACCAATAATGTCTCGAAATGACTGCAAGCTACAAAGCAACTTCTGGCAGGAGGGGAAAATGTATCCCCCAAAGAATGAAAACCCTACTTTCTCTGGCAACTTCATCTAGATTCTTTTTTGGCACAAAAGTTGGAAATTCTTGAAATGGTAGATATCTCAATATTTTGTTAGACTTTGCTCCAGCTGAGGAAAAAAGTTGTCCTTCAATTTCTTTAGCTTTATGAAATACAGAATTACTTTGATAGCTAAGTCAGCATTTGCAAATTCTAACCAAATGTCCTCTAATATAATTTTTAAAAAGTACTTTCTGGACCTCAACACTCTCCCTGGAAGTGCTCTTGGGTTTCCAGTGACCTCAGTTAGCAAGGAAGTATTGAAGGCAACACTGCCCTTCCATCACTTCTCCCAAGACCTGGTTATGCAGGCTACAATTATTTCTGCAACATCAGTGAAGAAATGAACCTTGTAGATGGAGAGCTCTGGCTGACTCCCAACACCATTCCACCCCACTCCCAATTCTGAGGTCACCAGGTGGTCAGAGTTCATCCTGCAACTTTTGGTGCCAGAAAGAAGAGGAGGTCCTCTCTTACACTGCAGTTACTGCTTTAAGGGCTTACCACACCAAGAGCCTTTTTGGGGGGATGGAGTCTTGCTCTATGGCCCAGGCTGGAGTGCAGTGCTACAATCTCAGCTCACTGCAACCTGCGCCTCCCGGGTTTAAGCGATTCTCCTGCCTCAGCCTCCTGAGTAGCTAGGATTACAGGTACCTGCCGCCACGCCCGGCATGTATCATGGGTGGGCATACTTCACGTTGGCAAAATAAACTTCCAAACTTGACTGAGACTTGTCTCAGATACTCTGGTTTACATAACCATCCTAGTGGGTATGGAGTGGTATCTCATTATAGTTTTTATTTGCATTTCCCTAATGATTTATGATGTTGAACATCTTTTCATGTGTTTCTCAGCCATTTGTACATCTTCTTTTCCGAAATATCTATTCGATTTATTTATGTGTATTTTTATTTTTATTTTATTTTGTTTGATATTTTGAGATGGAGTCTCACTCTGTCCACCAGGCTGGAGTGCAGTGGCATGATCCTAGCTCACTGCAATCTCTGCCTCTCGGGTTCAAGCGATTCTCCTGCCTCAGCCTCCTGAGTAGCTGGGATTAGAGGTGCCTGCCACCACGCCCAGCTAATTTTTGTATTTTTTTAGTAAAGACGGTATTTCACCGTGTTGGCCGGGCTGGTCTCGAACTCCTTAACTCAGGTGATCCGCCCGCCTCGGCCTCCCAAAGTGTTGGGATTACAGGCGTGAGCCACCACATCTGGCCTCAATTTATTTTTAATTAAAATTTTTTTTAAAATTTTTAGAGCCAGAGTCTTGCTCTGTCACCCAGGCTGGAGTACGTTGGTATCATTATAACTCACTGCAGCCTCCACCCCCTGGGCTCAAGCAGTCTTCCTGTCTCAGCTACCTGAGTAGGACTACAGTTGCGTACCACCACATCTGGCTAAGTTTTTTCTTTTTCTTTTTTTCTTTTTTTAAGACAAGGTCTCACTCTGTTACCCAGGCTGGAATGTAGTGGCACAATCACGGCTCACTGTAGGTTCCACCTCCGAGGCTTAAGCAGTGCACCCACTTCAGCCTCCCACGTAGCTGGGACTAACAAGCATGAACAACCATACCTAGCTAATTTTTTTTAAATTTTTTAATTTTTTAATTTTTTTTCCTTTTTAAGACGGAGTCTCACTCTGTTGCCCAGGCTGGAATGCAACAGTGCAATCTCAGCTCACTGCAACCTCCGCCTCCCAGGTCAAGCAACTCTCCTGCCTCAGCCTTCAGGGTAGCTGGGATTACAGGCACTTGCCACCACGCCCAGCTAATTTTTGTATTTTTAGTAGAGACCAGGTTGATGCCTTTACATCTGAGTTTTTGCAAAAGTAGAGACCAGTGTTTTACCATGTTGGCCAAGCTGGTCTTGAACTCCTGACCTCAGGTAATCCACCTGTCTTGGCCGCCTAAAGTGCTGGGATTACAGGTGTGAGCCACTACACCTGGCTCCTAGCTAATTTTTAAATTTTTTTGTAGAGGCAGGGTTTTCCTGTGATGCTTAGGCTAGTCTCGAACTCCTGGGTCCAAGTAATCCTCTCTCCTCAGCCTCCCAAAGTGCTGGAATTACACATGTGAGCTACTGTGCCTGGTCAGAAATGTCTATTCAATTTGTGTCTTCTTTTCTTTCCTTCTTCTTCTTTTTTTTTTTTTAACAGGGATGGGGTCTTGCACAGCCTGGAGTGCAGTGGCTGTTTACAGGTGCAACCATGGTGCACTACAATCTTGAACTCCTAGGCTCAAGCAATCCCCCTGCCTCAGCCTCCTGAGTAGCTAAGATATAGGCAGGTGCTACTGCGCTTGGTTCTGTGGCATTTTTTGTTGTTGTTTTTGTTTGTTTGTTTGAGATGGAGTTTCACTCTTGTTGCCCAGGCTGGGGCGCAGTGGCACCATCTCGGCTCACTGCAACCTTCACCTCCCGGATTCAAACGATTCTCCTGCCTCAGCCTCCCTAGTAGCTGGGATTACAGGTGCCCACCAACACACCCAGCTAATTTTTTGTGTTTTTAGTAGAGATGGGGGTTTCACTATGTTGACCAGGCTGGTCTCGAACTCCTAACCTCAGGCGATCCACCCGCTTCAGCCTCCTGTGCTGGGATTACAGGGGTGAGCCACCGCACCTGGTTGGTGCTGTGACATTTTTATACTATGCTGCCCAGCTGTTAAAAGGAATGAAGCAAATCTGTACATAATAATCCCTGACTAGATCTCTAAGACTTAATGCTAAGCAAAATAGCAAGTAGTAGGATGATATATTATACTACCATAAATTTTATATAAATAAAAACACTCAGGTGTGCCATGCATACACTTACACACACACACACACACACGCTCTCACACCTTGTTACTGTTCAGTTAAATATATATATATGTAAGAGGATAGAGAAGGGCCTGATATAGTATTTCCCAACCTTTCCAAGATAGTTTGTTACCTTGGGCCAGGAAGAGAGAGAACGAAGATGGGGGTGGAAGTGGGGTATGATCTAAAGGGACTTTTGTCTTATTTATGACATTTTACATAGTATCCATGTACTGTTTGGCTAACAAAAGTGTAAAAGCTCCTTAAAATGTAATTACAACCTGAAAAAATAAGAACATGGGAGCTCTTGGGGAACTGTAGCAGGAGATGGGTTAGAATCCATGCTCCATGCGCCCTGGCAAAGGAATGTGTATTCATTGACTCCTTTTATAGCTCAGCTTTATTTTGTCTGGGGTCCTTCCTCTTTTTCAAAATAATTTTATTATTTTTTAATACTTTGTATCAATTCAAATAGCATGGAGGTTTATAAAGTGAAAATGAACTTACCTCCCCTCTTCACCTGAAACTACCTACCCTAAGGTAGTGTTAGTGCACATCCTTTTCCTGCGGAAATTCTGTGTTTTGGTATTATCTCCCACCCACCCAGTAAGCTGTGCTTCCATCTTCTTGTGGTGAAAGCTCCTTCCTTTCTGGGAGAGGGAGGTCTTCATTTTGAAGCATCCGTGGAATGGTCTGCAGGCTTGCTTTGTGTCACTTCCTACCCAAGATTGTGATGTAGTAGGTCTGAAGTTCTACTTGGGCGTCTTCATTTTATAAAAAGTTCCCGTGGTGATTCTGGTGAACCAACAGAGGGTTAAGAGTCATTTATCTAGGGAGTAGCAGGGCAATCATAAATTGTGCCCATGCTGCTGCTTTGGGAATTATTTTTGGTAGCTGCTTTATGAGAATGATGAGCCTGTCAGCTTTATGGAAACATGCCTGAACTTAGATGGTCTGTTTTCTTCCAGGAATTTCACAGGACTTTTACTTTAGGTTATTTTCAGCATTTGTGTTTTTGTAACTAAATATTCAACATGGAACTGCTATTTGAGTCTGAGAAAGTGATCATGGATTCTTTTTTGAAAATGATGGAAATAAACAGTACATGGCAAACTTAGCTTATAAACTCTGCCATTTCACATTGAAAATGGGTGGATATAGTAAAAATGACAGGTGATGAATCTTCACCAGTCAGAGTATCCTTGGGTCTTGATTTAAAATGCTTTTCCTCCCCCACAGCCTGACTTTTGTGCTTCATTTTAGTGTGTTTGCCTGAGATGTGAGCGAGAAACATGTGATAGATGTCTCACATCTCCCTAAAATGTGTAAAACGAAGCTGTGCCCCGACCACCTAGGGCACATGTCAGGACCTCCTGAGGCTGTGTCATATCTTAAATTTGAGTAATCTTTCTCATATCTTAAATTTATGTTAAATTTTCTCTTATAGGTATTCTCATGGGAGCAGTTATAAAAATTATAGAGTTTAAAAAACTGGCGAATTGGAAGGTAGGTTTGCCCTTTGGTTGTTCTTAATTTTAGTAACATTGATGGTTATGCTGGCTTTTTTTTGGTAATTACTTGGCTATCAGTGGAGTTATTTATATTATTATATTATATACCCCATTAATTTTAAATTTTTTTTTATTAGATACAGGCTGATGCCTTTACATCGAGTTTTTGCAAAAGCATAAGTCTCATACTGTTTCAAGTGCACGTGGGAGCACCAATGTCATTTTTTTGTTGTTGTTATTATACTTGCATTTTTGTAATCCTAGGCTAACCTACTTTATTAGGCAGGAAAATTCTCTAATTAGCATTAAACATTAAATACTGTTTATTGCTCCCAATTCCATTCTGACAACTGAGGATAATAAAACATACTTGTCTGGTACTGTGAGACACAGTACTTCATATATTGTGGCTCATATTATCCTCATGACGGTCATGTGAGGTGGATTGTCTGGGTATTGTAATATCATCACCCCATTTTTACACATGAAAAAGGTGACACTCAGGGAGATTGGGATGTATTCAGTGTCACAGAGCTAGAAAGAAAGTGGCTGAGTGGAGTCTTGTGTCCAAACCCTCTGGCCTGAATATGCAGTGTTTTCTCCACCATACCACCCCGTCCTCAGTTTGCTAATATACATACCCTTGTGTTAAAGAGGTTATTAGAGTATGAACATCATCCTGGGATGCAAGTACTCATTGAAACTGGAATTTCAATATCAACTTGAACATCCATGTTAAGTAGGGTGAGATTAACAAGTATGCTACAAAATTTATTTTGTGGAGGGAAATAAGATTCATTTCAAAATAGTAAAGAATTATGTGGCTAAAATTGATCACATTTGAGCCCTTCCTACTTTGATGAAGCTCCTAGGTCCTAGGATTATTTGACCTGTGAAACTGTAGAGTATAAAATTAGCAAGACAAACCTTATAGCCTAACATAAAACACAATTTGAAGCTGTTATAAATAGTAGTAATGAAATATTTTATATATTAAATAAATTTTCAAAATGTGTATTGAACTTCGAAGAGTGATAGGACACACCTCTGCTGGGGAGACCCCAATGGAGCACATTACATGTGAGATCTCTGCCTTCCTGCGACTTGGTTACATTTAACCACTCTAAGAGTGGGTCATGACTGAAGAGCCTTTTTCTACTCCTAGGCTGGATATAGCCTGATGTGTAGATTTTGCCCACTAACCCATTTTGTTTGATCTGATTTAAAAATCATTTGATCAAGACTGGGCATGGTGGTTCATGCCTATAATCCCAGCACTTTGGGAGGCCAAGGTGGGTGGATCGCCTGAGCCCAGGAGCTTGAGGCCAGCCTGGGCAACATGGTGAAACTGTGTCTCTACAAAAATACAAAAAAATAAAAAATAAATGATCAAAATTTGAATTGACTGTAAAACAATTAAAAATTGTTAGATTTTGGCCAGGTGTGGTGGCTCATGCCTGTAAACCCAGAACTTTGAGAGGCCAAATCGTGTGGATCATCTGAGGTCAGGAGTTTGAGACCAGCCTGGCCAACACGGTGAAACCTTGTCTCTACTAAAAATACAAAAAATTAGCTGGGCGTGGTGGCACATACCTGTAGTCCCAGCTACTTGAGAGGCTGAGGCACAAGAATCACTTGAACCCGGGAGGTGGAGGTTGCAGTGAGCCAAGATTGAGCCACCGCACTCCAGCCTGGGTGACAGAGTGAGACTCCATCTCAAAAAAAAAAAAAAAAAAGTTAGATTTTAAAATATTACCAGTCTATATAAAATTCTGGAAATTTTACATAAAATTCAGAACTTCTAGCTTCTCTTGGAAAAGCAGAAGCTCTCTTAACACTAGGTCCAGCAGTGTTCAGAGACACTGAGCAGAGGGGCTTATCTTCCGGGTCATGCAGTGTGGCCCCAAGAAACCTTTGCTTGTGACCCCTGCTGTAAGCAGTGGGAGTAGGGGAATGGGAGGTGATCTTTCACTTCTAGTTTTATATGCATCATTGTTACTGAATTTTTGTTTTCCAACAGATGTTACTTTTCAAGATAAAATAATAGAATGTATTTAACAGTACAGACCATGAAACAAGTTAGGTGATGGATGTGATAAAGTGCCTGAAGTGTCATCCAGATAACCAGTGCTTGACCTCAGAAAAGAAGGCTAGATTGGGGATGCCAGCATGTACCAGTGGTCCCACCTACTTGGGAGGCTGAGGCAGGAGGATTGCTTGAGCCCAGAAGTTTGAGGCTGCAGTGAGTTATAATTGCACCACTGCAGTCCAGCCTGGGTAACAGAGCAAGACCCTGTCTCTAAAAAAAAAAAAAAAAAAAGGGGGGCAGGCTTCCTTTAGGAGCCTGCATTTGTGGAGAGTCAGAGTGAGAAGCAGGATATCTGCCTGGAAACCAGATGTACAGGGAGCAGTCGGAAGTCAGAAAAACAAGAGGAGCTGGTAGTTTCTTTCCCTGAAGTTCTGATTCCAAACTGACCTGCTGGGTCTGCATTCTACCTGTATTATCATGTGCTTAATATTTTTCTATTAACTTGCTTTTTAAATATATATATATATAATTTATTTGTTTATTACTTTCTTTTTTTGACACAGAGTCTCGCTCAGTTGTCCAGGCTAGAGTGCAGTGGTGCAATCTCGGCTCACGGCAACCTCTGCCTCCCGGGTTCAAATGATTCTTCTGTCTCAGCCTTCTGAGTAGCTAGGCAGGAGAACGGGCGTGTGCCACCGTGCCCGGCTAATTTTTGTATTTTTAGTAGAGACAGGGTCTCACCTTGTTAGCCAGGCTGGTCTCAAACTCCTGACCTTAAGTGATCTACCCACGTTTTCCTCCCAAAGTGCTGGGATCACAGGTGTGAGCCACTGTGCCTGGGTGTGGCTAATTTTTTAAAAAAAATTTTGTAGAGACACGATGTCACTATGCTGCTCAGACTGATCTCGAACTCCTGAGCTCATGTGATCCTCCCACCTTGGCCTCCCAAAGTTTTAGGATTACAGGATTGAGCCACCGTGCCTGGCCTATATATTTATTTTCTTATTTTGTTTCCTTTTTTTTTTTTTTTTTTTTTTTTGCGGGGGCTTGGCGGGGAGTGGACAGAGTCTCACTGTGTTACCTAGGCTGGAGTGCAATGGCGTGGTCTCAGCTCACTGCAACCTCCGCGTCCCAGGTTCAAGCAGTTCTCCTGCCTCAGCTTCCTGAGTAGGTAGGATTACAGGTGCCTGTCACCACGCCCAGCTAATTTTTGTATTTTTAGTAGAGACAAGGTTTCACCAAGTTGGCCAGGCTGGTCTCGAACTCCTGACCTCGTGATCCATCCACCTTGGCCTCCCAAAGTGCTGGGATTACAGGCATGGGCCCCCACGCCTGGCCATGTTTATTTTCAAGGCAATGTTACAGTACTATTTCCATTCAGAAACTAATATTGTTTTGTAAACATGATAAAAATGAAGTAGTACAGATGCCTGCTGAAGCATCAAAGGTCAAGTCTGCTCTCTGTGGAGGGAGATCAGCACGTTAGAGCCCTTAGAGGCGGTATTGCCATCCTAAGGTGTCTTGGATTTATTTGGACCTGAAGAAATAATCAAAAGGGGCTGTCTCAATCCGTGAGGTCAGTGGTATTTGACACACACTGCTCAAGTGCCACCTAAAATCACCTCAGACCATTTTGTGGGAGCCATTGCCAAAAGGAACTATAACACTATTTCCCTGAAAGGCCGTGTGTTCATAAGGGCTGCAGTAACAAATTACCACAAACTAAGTGGCTTAAAATAACAGAGATTCGTTGTCTCACAGTTCTGGAGGCCAGAAGTGAGAAGTCAAGGTATCAGCAGGACCGGGTTCCCTCCCAAAGACTCTAGAAAATAATTCTTCATTGCATCTCCCAGCTTCTGGTGGCCCAGGTTTTCCTTGGCTTGTGGCCGCATCGCTCCTGTCTTTGTCTCTGTGCTCACGTGGGCTTCTTCTACACGTCCCTGTGTGCCTCGTTCTGTCTCTTACAAGTTGATGTTTGCTGCCTTTGGCCTTCCCTTATCCAGCGTAAGGTCATCTAGATCCTTACTTTCGTTAGATCTGCAGAGACCCTATTTCCAAGTAAGGTCACATTCTGAGATTCCTAGTGGACAGGAATTGGGGTTGGGGTTGGGGGACACTATGTAACCCCACTATAGGTAGATTCTCCTTTTTCCCAGAGTGGGAGGGGTAGTTTTTGTACCTCCAAAAGGCTGTATATAGTGGTCCTGCTGCACAGATCCTGAGAACAGGTTGCCCCACAAAACACAGAGCTCGGCTCATTTCTTTTCACATAGTCCCAGTCTGAATCATAAGCTTGTTGTACATGCTGCTATTTTAAGACTTAATAAGGCATTTCAGAAGTCATCATTTGCTTCTATTTTGAGCCTTTTTTGAATTTTTTTTAGTCTTTGTGGTAACAGCTGTACATTTGTAAGAATACATTTAGGCATTCTTTGGAATAGGGATTTTGACAAGAAATCAGACTGTCAAAATTGTGACATGGGAAAATATTCATATGAAAAAGGGCCTGATTTTGCATTTTTAAAAAGACTATGTATTACACATAACCATTTTGGGCTTGAGGACCAATATATATTTCCCCCAAATTCTGCCAACAACTAGAGAGATATTCTAATAATATGGAAAATGAAATTGTTATTGTTTCATCCCTCCAAAGTTGGCTGTATTCTGGAAACACCATTCATAATGGCACTTAATAATCAAATCTGGAAGCAAGGTGCAATGGTTTGGGCGTTTGTCTCCCTAAACCTCATGTTGAAATTTGATTCCAGTGTTGGAAGTGTTTGGGTCATGGGGGTGGACCCTCGTGGATAGACTGATGCCCTTGCTGGGGGAGGGAGGTGCATGAGTTCTTGCTGTGTTCGTTCCCTATACAGCTGATTGTTAAAAAGAGCCTGGTCCCACCCCCACCCCCCCTTTCTTCCTCTCTTGCCATGTGCCATGGATCTCTGCACACTCTGGCTCCCCTTCTCTTCCCCCATGAGTAGAAGCAGCCTAAGGTTCTTATCAGATACCCAGTCTTGAACTTTTCCAGACGGCAGAATCATGAGCCAAATAAATGTTTTTCCTTTGTAAATTACCCAGCCTCAGGTGTTCTTTTATAGCAAGACACATGGTAAGGGGCTGTCTTTGTAGCCAAGTCTCAAGTCGAAAGAGCATCCAGTGGGGACTGTTTCATCACATCAGACTTTGGAAAACAGCACAGTTGTCTGTGATAAGCGGAAAGAAGGCAGAGCTATTTTAACCGTGTGTAGGGTTTCCTGTTCCTCTGAGTGGATTGTTTTAGGATTTGCCGTTACCTTTTTCCCGGAGGAATTCCAGCTTGTAAACTTGTTTTTGAAAGTATGCAACCCGAATTGAAATTTTCTAGATTCAGATTAATTTTCTTTCTGTACTAAGGAATAAAAAACATACTACTCTGTGTTTGGAAGCAGTTTGTTGTGCTATTTCTTTTCGCCGATCACCTTTAAAATCCTTGTCTTGACCAGGTGTGGTGGCTCATGCCTGTAATCCCAGCATTTTGGGAAGCTGAGGTGGGAGGATTGCTTGAGGTTAGGACTTTGAGACCAGCCTGGGCAACACAGCAGACCCTATATCTAAAAAAAAGAAAAAAAAAAAATAGCCTGGCATGGTAGCACGCACATGTAGTCCCAGCTACTCAGGAGGCTGAAGTGAGAGGATCACTGGAGTCCAGGAGGTTGAGGCTGCAGGGAGCTGTGATTGCACCACTGCACTTCAGCCTGGGCAACAGAGCAAGACTCTGTCTCAAAATAATAATAATAATGATAAAAATAATAAAATGCAGTTTCTTTTTTTTTTTTGGTGGGGGAATCTCTCATTCTGCTTGATTTTATTATCAGGTAGTTATTTAAACATTATACGTTTCCATTAGGCGAGGCCCTGAAAGAATTATTTTGGCTCTTTATTGATGAATTTATTTCTTAATTACACAAATTCCATGCCTCTTAAGATTCCCATTTTCTATTTACAGGAAGAAGAAATGTTTCGTCCAAACATGTTTTTCCTCCTCCTGCTTCCCCCTATTATCTTTGAGTCTGGATATTCATTACACAAGGTGAGACTCAGGCCCACATTGGTGCTTTGGTCTGGACAGTTTCTCATGTTTGTAAAGCAAGTTCCTTAAAAGCTTGGGTGTTAGCTCTGCTTCTTCCTGGTTGTGTTCAGTGGAAGCTGGACTGCAGTGCCTGAATTCTGGAGAGGACCAGACATGATCAATTGGCTGCTTTATTGGTTTCAGGCAGTGTGGCTCACTGAGCCAGTGTTTGCCATAAATGGGTGCTTTGCCCAGAAAGATGGCTGAAGTGATGTTAAGTGGCTCACAGATGATGCATTGACTCGTCTTCCTGGACACAGACTGATAGATGTAAAGAGGGTAGACTGTGTCCTGGGATGACAGGGACATGTGCCCCAGGGCTTTTGTTTCTTTCAGCTCCCCCACTGGCGCGTTTCTAACCTCCTCAGGCCCATCCATCCTTTCTTGTCTCCCTCTCCGTGTCCTCCCCTGGCCTCAGACCCCAGCTTGATATTCCCCTTCATCCCTCAACCTCTATCTCTTCTCGCCCACTCCCTGGTCCAGCCTTCCTAGTCCCACAGTTGCCTGCCCATCCTTGCCTCCCTGCCTTGGCGAGCAGTGGCACTGGCCCCTACCCACTTCTCTGCTTTGGCTTGGCCTTGATGGCCATTGCCTTGCAACTCCCAGTGTGAGGTGCTGTTTTTGTTTTTGTTTTTGTTTTTGTTTTTGTTTTTGTTTTTTGAAATGGAGTCTCGCTCTGTCACCCAGGCTGGAGTGCAGTGGCATGATCTCGGCTCACTGCAACCTCCGCCTCGCGGGTTCAATCAATTCTTCTGCCTCAGACTCCTGAGTAGCTGGGATTACAGGCACACGCCACCATGTCCAGCTAATTTTTGTGTTTTTAGTGGACACGAGGTTTTACCATGTTGGCCAGGCTGGTCTCAAAACTCCTGTCCTCAAGTGATCTGCCCACCTCAGCCTCCCGAAGTGCTGGGATTACAGGCGTGAGCCACCGCGCCCGGCCCCTAGTGTGAGTCTTTCTGCCTGGGCGGGAGCTTCTCACTTTTAAGCCTGTTTGTGTCTGTGCGTGGTATTTTCCTTGTCTGTGAGTTTTCTTTAAACATAAATGTATTTAAGTTTTAAAATAAAGTGATTCAACTTAAAATACTAGTATTAATAATACAACAGCTATTTTGTGAATGTGATTTTTAAAAAACCTGAAGATTGGAAAGTTTAGGCCAGCCCTTGGAGAGAGGAAAGCCAGAGACACAATACAGATCTAATCATGCGCTGCCCCCTACAGGTTTCTTTTTGGTAAAGTAAAAACCAAAAACCCCAAAACCCTACCTCCCGGGGTGCTTTGAGATTCACACTAGATGAAAGAATGTAGGCAAGGCCGGGCGCGGTGGCTCAAGCCTGTAATCCCAGCACTTTGGGAGGCCGAGACGGGCGGATCACGAGGTCAGGAGATCAGAGACCATCCTGGCTAACACAGTGAAACCCCGTCTCTACTAAAAATACAAAACTTAGCCGGGCGGAGGTTGGCAGGCACCTGTAGTCCCAGCTACTCGGGGAGGCTCAGGCAGGAGAATGGCGGTGAACCCGGGAGGCGGAAGGTTTGCAGTGAGCTGAGATCCGCCACTGCACTCCAGCCTGGGGACAGAGCGAGACTCCGTCTCAAAAAAAAAAAAAAAAAAAAAAAAAGAAATGTAGGCAAAGCACCCACCACCACACTAAATAAAATGGAGTGCTGTTGGCTTGTTATTAATGATAAAAATGTTATCTATTATTAATAACAATACCACCTCCAGTAGTAGTAATAATAATTTATTAAACTTAATAGGTCAGGCCCAGTGGCTCATGCCTGTAATCCCAGCAATTTGAGAGGCCGAGGTGGGTGGATCACTTGAGGCCAGGAATTCAAGACCAGTCTGGCCAACATGGCGAAACCCCATCTCTACTAAAAATACAAAAACTAGTTGGTCGTGGTGGTGCGTGCCTGTAATCCCAGCTACTCCGGAGGCTGAAGCATGAGAATCATGAGAATCGTTTGAACTCAGGAGGTGGAGCTTGCAGTGAGCTGAGATCACGCCACTGCACTCCAGCCTGGGTGATAGAGGGAGACTTTGTCTCAAAAATAAGTAAATAAAAATAAATTTGTTGTTGACATGGTATAAAATAAATAAACAATTTTTTAAAAATGGGTTAGATTTGTCTAGAAATTTTTGGTAAAAACATAGAAATTAAGTCTCTAATTTTCGTGTACTGAAACAAAAATATATTTAGATGTTCAGCCCAGATTTTTTTAAAGTTATTATTTTATTGTACATCTATCCAAAGAAAAAGTGAAAAGGAAGTTTAATGCAAAAAATATTCCCAAGTTTTAGAAACTGTTACTGACATCAGATAATTTTTAACAAGGAAACATAAGTTGAAGGTCACCATGTCTTTCTTTCACTTTGTAAACAAATCTTAACTGTAAGCAGATTATGAAAATATTTCAAAACATGCTGAGGAAATTGACTTGATTTTGACTTAAAAACATGACATTTTGAATATTAGAGAATGTAAAGTTTTTATTTTCTATTTTTTTTTTTAGAGGGAAGGGAGAGAAGCTTATTCAAAATTTGAGGAAAGTAATAGTTTTTTAGAAAAACATTTTGTTGAAGATGACTTTCCAGCAGATAATGTGACAATTTATATGAAAGGGACTTATAGGATTATGAAATGCTAATTCTGAAACTTCTGTCTACTTTCTACCCTGCCCCAAAGATGACAGGAAGTAAAGTTGGAATATTTTAATATTGTGATATTTGCTAATGTAAATTTGGACTTAGAATACAGATTTCAGTAAGATTATCATCATTTGATATGCATTAGCTAGGCAGCAACTGGTTCTTTGAATTGTAAGTATTACACAAATCATAGGATGTTAATTATGTCAAAGAGAAACAGTAAATTTGCTTTATCTAGCAGAGGGAAGTTCTTGTAGTGTGGTAACTTTAATTTGGGTAAATTTCAAGATCCAGATTAATATTAACCAAGTATATAAATTATATCAACATTAGATCTCTGCAAACAGGTCAAAACTGATTAATCTTTTTGTTTGTTTGTTTGAGATGGAGTTTTGCTCATTACCCAGGCTGGAGTGCAATGGTGCGATCTCGGCTCACTGCAACCGTGGCCTCCCGGGTTCAAGCGATTCTTCTGCCTCAGCCTCCCGAGTAGCTGGGATTACAGGTGCCCACCAGCACACCGGCTGATTTTGTATTTTTAGTAGAAATGGGGTTTCTCCATGTTGGTCAGGTTGGTCTCGAACTCCTGACCTTAGGTGATCCACCCGCCTTGGCCTCTCAAAGTGCTGGGATTACAGGGTTGGCCACTGAGCCCAGCCTAATCTGTTTTTAAATAACAAAAGAAAACAGCGATTTGCAAAGAGAAACTCATAGGTTCAAAGCCCTTTGTTTTGAAAAACCAAATCATTGTGTTTGCCTTGAGTTATTTTAAATTCTTTGTGCAGTAAAGATTGATATGCCAAATAAAGGAATTGAATGTCAAATTATAGGCAGCCAAGTCAAAATTGCAGCTTCTAGGAGGTAGGCTTAGTGGGGCAGTCAGTGTTCAGCTGAGGACACTCTTTCACGAGTGGGCTTTAAAATAGCAGGTCCTAATGTCCCTGGTTTGGCGATTTCTGAGCTGAAAACAAGAATCTTGTTCACACCCACAATCGGGAGTGATTAAAGCCTCTTGGTAACTCCTAAGTGGAGTCCACAGGGTTATGATAACTAGCTTAATTTCCTTAATTTTATGGAAATTTGAAAGATGTTACCATGCTGCTTGGACTTGAATATTTTCTCTTAAATGGTGTGAAGTATAGATAGAAATATTTTATCTGTCATAGTTAATGATGATACTAACAGAGTGAAGTAAAATTGTTTAAAAGACCTGGCCAGGAAAAAGGAATATCTGATAGTGTATCTTGGTATCCTAATTGTGTGGACTTTGGACGTGAAACACAGTGAATTCCGTCAGTGCCTGTCTGTTGGGCATCCTCCATCTGAGGGACATTATGTCAGGGACTGTGTTGTACAAAAGGAGATGTGGTCATTGCCCAGAATGAGCCTGCAGCCTCATGGGAAAATCAGACATCAGTTACATAAATAAGTGCAAAATTGCAGTCTTGTCAACCGCTACAAGGGAGGGTGACTGTGCACTGAGAGCATAGACTAGGATCTGAGCTGGGAGCTGGCTGAGGGATCAGGAAGAGTTGAAATGTCCCGAGATCTTGGGATGATGAAAGCTTAACAAGCAAAGAGGGAGCACAACCCGCTCGAAGCCACCAGTGGGACTGGAACCCAGAGAACAAAGGGGCGAGCATGGTGCCAGATGAGCCCAGAGGCCTCCCCAGGGGTCGAGTCATCCAGGGTGGGGGCTAGCTGCATTTTAAGTGGAAGTAGGGGTCCAGGTGAAGGCAGTACAATCAGATTTGTCTTTTGGGAGGACCATTCTGGAAGGACTGGAGAGTGGAGGGAAAGGGGCCCGGAGGGGTTGAGGAGACTTGTGTGAAGCTCTGCAGTGTTCCAGATGAAAGATGATGTGAGTGACGGGACACTGCAGTAGGTGCAGGGGTGCAGGAAGACTCCCAGGCTCCCAGCTTGCCACACAGGATGGGCAGTGGTACCTTTCACAGAGAGTCAAGTCAGCCGAGAGGGCCAGGTGTGCGGGCCATGACTTCACTGACAGGAATGGCTTTTCTAATCGTTTCCCTGATTTCTGCTCTTTCAAACAGGGTAACTTCTTTCAAAATATTGGTTCCATCACCCTGTTTGCTGTTTTTGGGACGGCAATATCTGCTTTTGTAGTAGGTGGAGGAATTTATTTTCTGGGTCAGGTAAGAAAATCATCTTTGAAACACTTTGAAAGTCTTACATTCTTAGAGCTAGTGCAGGGAGGTGGGAAGGTGAAATGGGGCCACTTGGTGGGGCCTGGGTTTCACCCTTAGGGTAAATTCCTTCTGGAAGGAAATCCTAGCTTCATATGAGGCACAGTAGAGGCATGCTAAATTGTTTCAAAGTGTCCTGCAAGACCTTTGGTATCTGGAATTGAGTAAATCTTTTCCATAATCCCCCCCCAAAGTATTTTATTTTATTTGCAAACCAATACTGTCTTAAATTAGAATATCTAAAAATAAAGCCAAATATATGCCATCAAGAACTTCAAACAGTTGTCAGGTAGACTGAATTGGGATTGAATGCTGTTTTTTGATAAAAATTTGCATTTTAAAAATCAGAGATGTGCTTTTCTGCTGGCATTGGAGAAATAATAAAATCAAAGGTGATTCTGAATCTGTTCACTCAGTTCTAAGCTGTCTACCTGTAGAATTATATACTCTGGATTTTCCACAATTGCTAAACCACTTCCCAGTGACATCAGTTGGATGGTCTCTACTTTAGACTTCAAATTAATTCAAATTAATTTAGACCAAACATCCCTAGGAAGGTAGTATCTGTAGTTTTGTACTGTGCATGTCCATGCATGTCACATTCTTTTCCTTTATTGTCAGTTGCAGAAAGTTTGCCTGTCCCAGTTCTGAAAATTAAGTTGAAGGTCAGGTGTCTGGGTGACAGGCAGATTTCTTTAACACATGTCAGCTGCTTTCTTCTCTCGATAGCCAAAGCCCATTCCATCGAATTTTCACCTATATTGCAGCTTTGATGGCACCAGAGTAAATCTGTCTGTCATGCAGCTTTCTTCATTGCTCAGTTTCTAGTATTAGATAAGAATAAACTTAAGGAAACTACAGTTAATTGGGCTTGAAGAATGTGGTATTCTTTTCCATACTTTCATTGCATGCTGATGGAATGCATGTTTCAACTAAAGCTTAGGAGCCTTCTTTATTTTTCAAGTGGTTTGGGAACTGAAGATTAATGTCCTTATTAGTTTTAACAAAGCACTAATGGACATTTAAATCTTCTTGGCTGTTCTCCAGGGTTTTTTTTTGTGTCTGTGTGTTTGTGTGTTTTATTTTACAGGCTGATGTAATCTCTAAACTCAACATGACAGACAGGTAAATCCTTCATACTGTAACACCCATGCGACTGCTTTTCAGACAGGGGAAATTTTTCTCTACATTGCTTCCTGGGTGTGGTACTGTTCTATTCTCTCTCTGTATATTTATTTTTGGTAAGGATTTCTGCCATAGAATCTTACTCTGAATTGATTTGTATCTCTGAAATGAATCAAAACTATACTAAAGACTTTTGAAGATCCCTAGTCGGGCATTGCTGATTGGAATGATATAGTTTAAGCTTGGGAGGGAGTAACTCTGCTCAGCTAACTGCCCTGCCCATGTGCACACATACACCGTACCATTGTCTTCTTATTATTTCCAAGACTTCAGTCGCCATAACAAAAAGTTGTCTTCTTGATAGTTTAGAGATGGAGCGGGGAGTGACGGAGAAACTTTCCTCTAGGATTGCCACCAAACCTGCGGTGGGGGAAGCAGGGCCAAGACCTCTGTTGTGGATATTGTGGAAAGCCCTTCCATCTGAAGCCACTCCCGTGAGCACGTCCCATGAGCCCTGTCCAGAAATTCCCAGAATTGCATAGTGAGAAGCAGCCTCACTAGGTTGAGGCAGGTGTCTCTCAGAAGGTACCAGATCTAGTGCTGAAAAAGCACCCATGCAGAGCATCGTCTGGATTCCCCCTTCTGAGAGTAGACAGCCTTGCTCAGTGTGTCTGTGTTTGGTCTTGCGGCATGGCTGAGGAGCTGGGCAGCAGGGCCACATGTTCGTCCCCAGATCCTTGCCATCTGGCCAGTCAGAGCTTTCAGGATTTAGCAGCAGTTTAGCAACTTAGGACTAGAATCTGGGAACCCTTTTCATGGAAACTGTGTCTCTGATAACAAGTCCAATCCTATTTCCACCTCCACTCACCACCCACCCCAGCCCAGGACAACAATTTTGGAGCTTATGTTGAAAGACAGTTTTGATACATAAACAAGTAGTCCTATTCCATGGGAGCTGGAAATAAAGCAGAACTGATGTCCTGTGTTTGGTAAGTGTTTTGCAAATAAAAAGAAATGCCCAGTAAAGGAAGGTATCACAGTATTCAAATCTTCCACTTGTTTTGGGGACAGCTGGTTAGAGATACAGACAATGCTGGATAACTTCCTGTGAAGTTGAATTGAATCAGTGGTTGGAATGTTCAGGTGAAGGACAGGAAAATAATTGCCCTGTAGACACACTGACTTAGAGCCAGGTAGTGTTTTCCTCTCCATGTGCAGAAGCTTCCTTGGCTGTTAGAAAGTGACAGTCCCACGGATGGGGACTGCTCTGGGGTCGCAAACCCGCACAGCTGCAGGGCCTGGCAGAGCACTTAAGAGAGGGAAGCTGGCCAGCTGTGAGTCTAGCGGTGGGGCAGCAGCCAGTGGGAGAACACACCCTGTATGAAGGGACAGCCACTTCTCAGTGCCAACTCATGATTACCATGTGGAAATCTGGGCCCAGAATTGGTGGCTATTTTAAATAATTTTTCTTTCAAAACGAGGCTAGGTTTCTAGATTTTTGTAGGGAATTTTCCAGTTTTCAAATGTTGACAACTTGCTCAATTTTTCACAAACACCATGCAGATCAAACATGAGAGCCACAGACTATCTTTTGCAACCTCTGCACTGTAGAAAACACAAAAGTAACTTTGTTGCACATGTTTCGTTTTGTTCTGGTGATATCTTGCTGGAGAGAGATTTCACTCTTAGAGATCCTGAATTATTTCACTGCCTTTGTCCATTTCTTTTTCATTTTGTTGATGTTGCTATCTTTATTGGGGTTATGGAATAAAGAAAGTACATTTTTAAGTTGAACTTCTGGCATTTAAAAGGCGAGGTCCTAAAGAAGTGAAGTGGAACAGCTGACAGCCAGGTGAAGTGATCCTCTTTCCATACAGACCTCTCAATGATTGAACAGTTTGTATTTCAGACTTTTCATCTTCACTGTCAGAAATACTCTGCCTCAATTTAGATTCCCAAGCAAACTAAATGTGTAACGTGATTTATACAAAGCATTTCCCCCAACCTTTTGTTTGTTTTGTTTTTTCAGTTAATTTAGAAAGTTTATTTTGCCAAGGTTGAGGACACGCACCCGTGACACAGCCTCAGGAGGTTCTGGTGACATGTACCCAAGATGGTCAGAGCAGTTTGGTTTTATACATTTTAGGGACACATGAGACATCATTCGACTTACGTAAGATGAACGTTGCCCCAACCTTTCACTATGAAACATTTTAAACATACAGAAAAGGTGAAGCATTGTACAATGAATACCCATAAACAAATTAAAAAAAAATAAAATAAAAAGTATATCCTGCAGGGGTAGGAGAGTCATAGGACAGGGAACCTGGGAGCCTGGGCTGGGCCTGCACGTCACTGAGGCTGGAGTATAGTGGCATGATCACAGCTCGCTGTAGTCTCAAACTCCTGAGCTCAAGCTGTCCTCCTGCCTCAGCCTCCCGAGTAGCTCGGACTACAGGTGTGTGGTACCACTTCCAGCTAATTTGTGTGTGTGGAGGTGGGGTTCTCTATATTGCCCAGGCTGGTCCTGAACTCCTGAGCTCAAGCCATCCTCCCACCTCAGCCTCCCAAAGTGTTGGGATTACAGACGTGAGCCACTGTGCCCGGCCCAGGATACACTTTTTAGACATTGTCCTCCTTCCTTCACGGCCTCTGGTGATGTGGCTGTGGTTGATGAGAGTGGGAATAAAAGAGCAACCAGAAGCTCTGTCTGGGTTGTGGTGCACGGGCCTGGGGACCAGCTACCAACAAAATAGGATCTCCCAGATGGGCAGTTGTTTAGTGGAGTTACCTTCCCTTTCCTGCTTCCCTTCCTTCTTCCCGCCTGCCTGCCTGCTTGCCTTCTGCAAGTGTCTCTGGGCCATACCCAGTACAGACCCTGGGAATTCACCCATGATGAAAACCCAGCGTCCACTTCCTTGGAGCTCACAGGCCTGTGATGACCTCTGTGAGGACAGGCAAAGTCTGGGAACTGAATCCTCAGCCTGGGATCCGGAGGCACTCTGGTTTAATGCACATGAATCACATTCACAGGCAGCTACCATGGAAACCAGAGGCCAAATGATTGACTTCTGAAGAGACCTGTACCTGGCAAGGCAGCCAGGCATTTCCTCAGTCAGCTCTCCTCTCCCTGAACCTGCAGCCAAAAGATCACCCATCGAAGGCTGCTCAGGCCGAGCATCCTCTTCCCCCTAGACCCAGGCTTGGTGAGGGTGGGTCATCTCTGGCTAATGACTGACACAGGCTAGGAACCTGGGAGCCTGGGCTGGGCCTGCATTTCACTGAGGCTGGAGTATAGTGCTCAGGCAGTCGTCTCTGGCTAATGACTGACACAGACTGGCCCTTGGGGGCTCCATGTTTTGGCTGGTGTTGTGGAAGGGGGCAGACCCACCATTCTGCTGCCCTGGAAAGAAAGTTGCACCAGGCATGGCACAGAAGCTTGTGGGAAAATCACCAAAGGGCAGGGAGAGTGAATTGTCCAGGCTCATGTGGCCCACGAGGCCCCTTGAGGGAGCTGGTCCTGCCTCCCTTGCCAGCTTCCTATGGCTCCTGCCACTCGCCCCACCCCCGCCACCACACGCACCTTCCTTCTGTTCCTCAGGCAGCAGGCTTTCTCTCACCTCAGGAGTCACTTGCTGTCACCTCTGCCTGCAGCTCTTGGCCTGGCCAACTGCTGCTTAACATGTAGGTTCTTGCTTACATGTGTCATCCTTTCAGAGAGGCCTCTCCAGAACCCCCCCATCTAAATGGCTCCCACACGCACACCCACACCCACACCCACACCCCACCTTCTCATGTCACCTCAATTGATTTCCCGGGTCACACTTGCTGTTGTCTGAATTTGCCTTCATCTCTGGGTATTGCTGTATCTACTATTGGGGGGAGGAGTACCAACTCTGGGCAGATAGCCTGGCTCTGCCACTTGTTAGCTGAGTGACCTTGAACAAGTTACTTCATCAGCCCGTTGTCCCTCGATTTTCTCCTCTGTCATCGGGGCAGTAGTAGCAGTCTCTCATACAGTCACTGACTGGATTGTTGAGTCACCGTATGTGACGTGCTTAGAACAGTGCCGGCCGTGGTAGCCTCCATGCCTGAAACATGTTTGACAATCAGCACATATCTGCTGGGGGTGATAAGCTCTTCACGGGGACTGTCAGTGAGGTCACTGGCCCAGTTAAGAGATGGCCTCAGTGTTTCTATCGGCTGTCCATGCCACTCACCCCCAAAGCACACTGGGGTTACTCCTGGTTTTTGACACTTTCTTAGATGTTGCAAATCTGAGTGCAGGCTGGGATTGGTCACAGACAGCACTCCAAGGGGCTGGTGGCAAGGGGCAGAGCAGAGGTCAGATGCAGGAGTTCATGGGCCATTTGACTCCAGCTGCTCTGACCTGTGGAACTGGGCGGTATATAGTAAATATATCTAAGCAAAAGTCTCTCTTCCGTCATTGGTCAAAGTCAAGTCTCTGTGTTGACAGTAGAAAACCAGGCCATTCCTAACAACTCAACTTAGAGTGGGCCTTTCACACTCCACCCACAATGTCAACAGCAGATAAGTGGGAAAAAATATGCTACCTTCTATGGTTACTTCAGCTCTAGTGTGTAGTTTTGCTTTCTGTTAAATATGGCCTTTGACTTTAATGCTTTAATATGTGGACTGGGTGACACACATTACAGAATCTCCCCTTCCCTCTGTCTCTTACAGTTTTGCGTTTGGCTCCCTAATATCTGCTGTTGATCCAGTGGCCACTATTGCTATTTTCAATGCACTTCATGTGGACCCAGTGCTCAACATGCTGGTCTTTGGAGAAAGTATTCTCAACGATGCAGTCTCCATTGTTCTGACCAAGTAAGTATGGGGCAGAGAACAGACTTTGTTCATGTGACAGAACTAAAGATCCTTGTAATGAAGGGGCAGATATTTCCACGCAGCATGTGTACAGTTACTTGTCCTCTGGGTGATCAGTTCACCCACTGTCTTTCTCCATCTTTCTGTCCTGACAAGCCTTGATGTGCTGCAAGAATATGGTCAGGTTCCAGGGGTGGTTAAAAGAGCAGAGTCCCCCTTTTTTTTTGAGACAGGGTCTCGCTCTGTCACCCAAGCTGGAGTGCAGTGGCTCCATCACAGCTCACCGCAGCCTCAACCTCCTGGGTTCAAGTGATCCTCCCACCTCAGCCTCCCGAGTAGCTGGGACTTACAGGCACCTGCCACCATGCCCAGCTAATTTTTAAAAAAGTTTTTGTAGAGACAGGGTTTCACCATGTTGCCCAGGCTGGTCTTGAACCCCTGGGCTCAAGCAGTTTGCCCACCTCAGCCTCCCAAGGTGCTGGGATTATAGGTGTGAACCATTGCTCCTGGCTGTGCCCACCTTGTTTGGCCTACCTTTTAGTAGCAGTTTCTGAGCCCAGCTTCTCAACATCACTGAGGGTGCTTATTAAGTGTGACATTCCTCGGCCCCACCCTCAGAGCCTTCTGATTCATTTGGTCTGGGGTGAGTCCCAAGACCATGGGTTTTTAATAAGTTCCCCAGATATGATGAAGTGGCCTGTTGAGGGGTCAATGTTCAGGCAACATCACTGGAGACAAAAGCAGTAGACAGAGGCCCCACTAGCTGTTGCATGTCACCTTCCTTTTCACAACTTTAAAATAAGGTAGGAATGCTGATAGGTGCCCTGCCTTAAGATGCTATTGTGTAAACGCTGCTTTGGAAACTGCAATTTGTTTTCAAATAGTTGTTGGTATTACTGCCCTAATTGATGGGATCTGAGAAGTTAATGATGAATAATAAAATGTCAAGAAGTCATTGGGGGCCAGGCGCAGTGGCTCAGTCCTGTAATCCCAGCACTTTGGAAGGCCGAGGTGGGTGGATCCTCTGAGGTCAGGAGTTCAAGACCAGCCTGGCCAATATGGTGAAACCCTGTTTCTACTAAAAATACAAAAATTAGCTGGGCATGGTGGCAGGTGCCTGTAATCACAGCTACTCCGGAGGCTGAGGCAGGAGAATCACTTGAAACTGGGAGGCGGAGGTTGCAGTGAGCTGAGATCACACCACTGGATTCCAGCCTAGTGACAAAGCGAGACTCCGTCTCAAAAAAAAAAAAGAAAAAAAAATTTTAGCTGGGTGTCATATCACATGCCTGAGCTATGATGGAGCCATTGCAGTCCAACCTGGGCAACAGAGTGAGACCCTGTCTTAAAACAAAACAAAATCATTGGGAAAAGGAAATGCATTTAAGATAATCTCAAATATATTTTTCTGATGCAGGGATATTTCCTTGAACTCTGCATTTTTTGGTGGTTGTTAACATGCAGTCAAGAAACCCAAAGAATTTTGCCAAAACACAGAAAAGGCACAGACAAAGCAGTTGAAGGAAGCCAGGCATGGTGGCTCATGCCTGTAATTCCAGCTACTCCGAAGGCTGAGGTTAGAGGATCATTTGAACCCAGATGTTTGAGCTCAGTCTGGACAACATAGCAAGACCCCATTCTCCCACCTCCCTGCAAAAAACTCCAAAGCAAGTGGAGAAAAGAGCCCTGGATAGTGTATCATGAGCTAAGAGAACATTAGAGGCCAGACTGTGTTCTGTTAGATAATAGAATTTCCATTTAGCTGAATACTGACTTACTGCCTTTGCTAAAGCATAACCACTCTGTGTAGTTGGCATTTTCTTAAAAGTTTTTTTATAGACTATATTCAGAATTTTTATGTTGGAATAAAATGCCTCAGCCTAGGACTAAAATTGAGGACTGAATAGTTAAATAAGATATTACAGGGCCGGGCACAGTGGCTCACGCCTGTAATCCCATCACTTTGGGAAGCTGAGGCAGATAGATCACTTGAGGCCAAGAGTTCAAGACCAGCCTGGCCAACATGGTGAAACCCCATATCTACTAAAAATACAAAAATCAGCCAGGCGTGGTGGCTCACGCCTGTAATCCCAGCTACTCGAGAGGCTGAGGCAGGAGAATCGCTTGAACCTGGGAGGCAGAGGTTGAAGTGAGCCACACTCACGCCCCTGCACTCCAGCCTGGGCGTCAGAGTGAGACTCTGTGTCAAAAAAAAAAAAGAAAAGAAAAGATACTACGAGAAAATAATCCAGCATCAGGTAACGTGACATCCTTTCCTTTTCTTTCCCTGCCCCAGTTATTGTTTTCACCATGTTTGCTCAGTTTTTGCCCTGTTTTTGCCCTTCCTTTGCAGGAGGAGCTTACCAAATACTGCCTGATGGCAAGAGATGCTCAACAGGCCTTAAAAAAAAAACCAAACTTAGAAGTATTTTTGTTATTCTAAGCGTAGTACATATATTCTTATAAAATTTAGGAAATACACAAGCAAAAAAGGGAGAAATATCACACACATTGCTACTACCTAGAGATATAGTTAACAAAATTTGGTGTAAATATATATACATTTTATTTAAATAGGCTTATACCCCAAATACTGTATTCTATTTTCCATTGAGCACAGTTGATAAAACAGTCTTCTGGAACATCATTTTACTGGTTACGGAGTATTCCTTTTTCTGGGTTTACTGTGATCTACTTAACCAATTTCCTACTATTGGCTTTTTCATGTTTCTCTTGGCAGAAATTTCTATAGCTTTATTAGGATATTATCATACAGCATGCTGCAAGACCTTTAAAAAATCCGATGGTAATATTTTTTCTTATTTAAGATCTACTCTGAAAGCTGCTTAGCGTTCTGGTTTTTACTTTTATCTCGTATCCTGGCTACACATATTGAACATTTGTGACAAGGAATTTTGTCCAACTTGGAGGTGACATCATGAGTTATTTTTATGCATTGGGAGCTAAACTCAATTGCTTTGTCTCTGATTTTTTTAAAGAAAAATAATTTTTCAGAGGTAGGATCTTTTCTGAGCTTTTCCAGTTCTGTTATAAAAGCCAAAGATTAGGAGACTTTTTCTATTTAAGATGGGAAATGATGGAGTCGTTGTCTGTAGCCAGAGGTTCTTCCTGGAAAAGTGCTTTGGAAACCCAAGATTGGTCCGGGCACAGTGGCTCACGCCTGTAATCCCAGCACTTTGGAAGGCCAAGGCCCGTGGATCACCTGAGGTCAGGCGTTCGAGACCAGCCTGGCCAACATGGTGAAACCCTGTCTCTACTAATAATATAAAAATTAGCCGGGCGTGGTGGTGGGTCCCTGTAATCTTGTCTACTTGGGAGGCTGAGGCAGGAGAATCTCTTGAACCTGGGAGGTGGAGGTTGCAGTGAGCCGAGATCACACCACTGCACTCCAGCCAGAGCAACAGAGTGAGACTCCATCTCAAAAAAAAAAAAAAAAAAAAGAATCCCAAGATCGCCTATGATAACAGTTCCCACGGTTGGATCTGTGGAGCATGCATGTATAGTTTCCGCCTCCTCCCTCCACCAGCAGCACTGCCACTGCTGAGACCCAAGCTGACTGGAGAATCAGCCTCATGAACTCTCCAGCCACGGCTGGTCATCTGCCATCAGCATTTGCTGAGGACCTTTATGTCCAGACACTGCTGAGACCAGGTGGATTTGATGAACTCGGTCCATGATGGGCAAAAGATGCCCATAGAGAAGTGAACATGGTGCCGTAAGCCGGAGGGGCTCAATGACCAGACCATTAAGGATATGAGGAAGGCTTCTCAGAAGGAATGTCTTGTGAGCCAGACCTGGGAGCTCATTTTCAGACCAGAAGAGAGAGAAAAGGGGCATGTCAGACTTCCCCTGCCCTTTTTTTTTTTTTTTTTTAGTTCAAAAGAAAAATATGCTCCTGGAGCTGTTGTCACTTTTCCTGGTTATCAGCTAAGAATCACATCTGGTTTGAAGAGGTATACTTCATAAACGATCATCTCCAAAGTGAGCTGACACATTTATCTTTGCAACTGAATAGTGAATGAATTACCCCCTTTTTAATGTTGTTACCTTCATGAGTGCCGGAAAGCAAATGTCTTCTGTTTCTTCAGTAACTTGAATTCATTTTCAACTTTGATTCGTTGCTATGTAGTGTGTTCTTAAAGTCACTGCTGTAGAGGAAACCTTTTGTTTTCTCCAGCTACAGTTTAAGCTCATGAAATGGACCCTGAAGCAATACTCCCTTTTATTATTTAAGGTATGAGAAACATGACCTTAAGAAACAAAACATAGAAAATTACTAGGCCAGAAAGAGTCCAAATTCTACTTTCATTACCTGGAGTTCAGAACCCATTGCCTCAGTCCTGGATCTGCTGTTAACCCTTTGTGTGACCTTACTCCGTGACTCACTCTCTTTGGGCCCTCAGGCTACACTCTGTATAAAAAGAAAGCAGTGAAACCAGCCTGGGTGCCTGCCATGGTAGAGACGTGGGCTGAGGCCGGGCACTGTATGTGGTGTGGCCTGCAGATCCATTTTTGGGAACTGCGGGTGATCATGGCCTTCAAAAGCACTTTTCAGTTATGAGCCCTTGTTGGCTGCCACATTCTTCAAGGTGGGATGTTAACCTGTGATCTGCTAGAAAGAAGGGGGATTGGGAGATTGTGTGTTCAGATGATCTGCAAAGCTTTCACGTGAAGAAAGTTAGATTTCTTTTTTGCAAGACGTCTCAGACCTTAATTAGTTATTTTGTGCTGTAAATTTCCTCGAAAGGCTTTCTGAGGTTATTTGACCAAGCTACCTTTTCATCTTACTCTGCTTTAAAATGATACAAATCCTGGGGCCTGGCACGGTGGCTCATGTCTGTAATCCCAGCATTTTGGGGAGGCCAAGGCAGGCAAGTCACTTGAGGTTAGGGCTCCACACCAGCCTGGCCAATAATGGTGGAAACCCCATCTCTACTAAAAATACACACACACACAAAAAAAGTCGT